CTACAATGTATAGAGATTAGCATGACAAGAACCGCCCTTATCTACTAACAGTCGATTTTCGTACAATGTACATGCATATCTTTACCTTACTAATTGACTCCTATTATTAGAACTGCACGTAACTCAGTATTACTCTAAATTAGCCGAAAGAGAGTCGGGGATTTCCAGTTGCAAATTTTTAGAAAACCCAATGGAGTTATCTAACTTGCTTAGTGGCGCTGGATCGCGAACGGAAGTAGATTAACGATGACAGTAAGCGCTTTGCGCTGCACTTAGCGCTTAAAATTGAGATTATGTACTATCCACATTTCATATATTGTCTTTCTACCCCCCCCCCTTTATTTAAAAAAATATTCCTTGCTGTACGCCTCATAAATGTTCACTATAATTTTAAATTAAGTGATTTTCCTCTGTAAACTAAAGGCACAGCAATCTGCATTTCAATTGTATGAACAAAAGGAGACTATAATTTTCTTTGTGGATTTGACAATGAAATCAGATATGTACTGGATTGAAGATGTCTTCTACGGTATGCGTGAGTTGTTGTTACATGTATTTTTCAAAATTTGAATGCAAAAAGCAACTCAAGTGAAGCATTGGATTGGAAAAATCTAACATTTAGAAGGGGAAAAAATGTACACATATATTGCGAAAAAAATTAAAATTACGAAAAATACATCTTACCTAAATAAATATATTTCATTGAGAGTCATTTAAATTTACAAAATTACATAGAAAGGATATTTGCATAAATGTGCAAAAAAAAAAAAAAATAAATAAATAAATTTAAATAAAAAAAAATAAATAAATAAATAAATAAATAAATCTAAAAAAAATCCATGAAACAGAATTTGGTAGCATGATTTGTCCTGTTTGTCCTTCATTCCAGCTGTCTACGAAAAAAACAATACATGTATTTGACTGAACTTTGAACTCTAGATGAATAAGTCTTTAAATAAACTTGGATTATCTCAATGTTTGTGTTTTACATGTAGAAGCTGTGTAAAGCATTATGGCAAACAAAAAAATTAGGAAATCGCTATACATTCTGCGGTAATCTTCATCTCCATATTAGTGGATTTATTATTTTGTTCGAAGACAAAAAAAAAAAAAAAAAAAAAAAAAAAAAAAAAAAAAAAAAAAAAATACAAAACACACACACACACACACACAAAACAACAAACAAACAAACAAACAAACAAAAAAAAAACAACAACCAAAACACAAAAAAAGTAAAAGGAGACCTCAGTCATAATTCAAAGGCAATACATGTCACAGTTTGCTTAGGAAGGAGGAGTCGATCGTATGTTAATAAGAGAAAAACTAAAATTTTAATATGCTTTTATTTATTTATATTGGCATAAAAATATATAAAAAAAAAAATATGATTGCAAGGCTTGTTTCTTTAGCTATTGACACGAATGTGATTCGGACACTTCCAGTAAGTACTGCATAAATACCTAACACGTGCATCCTGTGACCTCAAGACCGAAGCTGACGGAGGAAAAAATTCCATTAGGGGAGAAAAAGATAGTGAATTCAAGGTACAGGGGAGAAAAAGATAGTGAAATTAAGGTACTTTTTTTTTTAAAAGTGCGTATTAAACTTTTCAATGTAGTTTTTTTTTTTTTTTTCAGAGAGTTTTGTCTGGAAATATATTTATTCGAAAGCTGACCTCCTACCCCATTTTTCATTACATTGTGATAGAACCTGTCGAAAATGGGGTGAGAATGAAATCTTATCATTACCTCTGATTTAAGAATCGGGATTCTGTGAAGCTGTTTAGTTTCCTTATTTTGTTATTAAATTGTTTCCTTGGCCCCCATCTTCCTTCAGTCAGGGCTTCTCTGATGTTAAAAGATTCATGATAAAATATTTCAAATGTGCTGGTATTTCCGTGTAACAAAAATATCGGGGTTGGGGGGTGGGGGTCGGATTGGGATACCAATATACACTCTGTAAGTAATGGCCGACATGAAACATCTGGTTGTGATTTTTAATATATCGATTTTGTATTTCACGGGTCTTTACTTACTTACAAATAATTTACGATCCAGGGGACGACAATTCGATTCTGAGGAAAGGGGGGAGAGGTGGCAATTTTGTCGCTCGACTTCAGAGACAAAATCTTAATTCAATTTCTCCTGGAAAGGTTGAGAAACAAAAAAAAAAAAAAGAAAGGAAATTCATCTGACAAATCTGGGTGGGGTTGGGGTTACATACCACATTATTTTTTTCCAGTGTATAAAAATTGCTTCCAAAGCCTACCCCCTAACCCCCCCCCCCCCGCCCCGCCGGCGCCGGTAAGATCAAAATGTATTGATATGACGAATAACATTTTTCTTTATAGCTTTTTCCTTTTATCATTTTTTAAAAAGAAAAGGTTTTTCAAATTCTTCATAAAAAAAAAAAAAACAAAAAAAAAAAAAAACAAAAAAACAAAAAAAAAAAAAAAAAAAAAAAAAAAAAAAAAAAAATAAATAAATAAATAAATAAACAAAAACAATTTTTAATAGAATCTGTTCCCTTCGTTATGTTCTTGTCATACTTGTGTGTAACGTCACAGCGACTTGAAAAATCGGGATGTGCACATTAAATATGCATCTCTTAGCTGGGGTGATACAAGTGGGCGGATAATGGAACTTCAATTTTTTGTAGCCCGTTTTCTGTACTAAACACTTCCTACTTCCGTCTCCTCTTGTGACATTTGATTACCTAGATACAAAAAAAAAAAAAAAAAAAAAAAAAAAAAAAAAAAACTTTTTGCCAAAGGAATTAAGATTGTGTGTTCTACTACGATGACAGAATACCTTATATTACACACAATGCCTATACGTCATTTTGCTTTAATAGAAAGTTCGGGAAAACAGTGTACGTGTGATGTCGTACTTTGAAAAAATGACGTCAAACAAGAGTAGTCCGGTAGTGTATTGTCAGTGTTGACATGGACGCGTTTCTCTGGTTATTTGTTGGATTTAAACTTGTCAGGACTGTAAAAATATTTGTAAGTGTTTGCATTTATCGTAATGAATGTTCATTGGTGTATATTTTCGTTCCCTACGATGCATTTCTTCAGGAAATCGGTATGTGAAATCTTCATGCATCGAAACCTAAGGCTACGCATTGCTGACTTTGATAAGAGGATTTCTTCAACTCGATAGGAAATTTTAGCGATGGCGAAGCGGTCATAGCTCAGTATAGAGTCAAACACTTCAACAATTACGTAGTGATGCCTTTTGACTGCAGAAATATACGGAATAATAGAAAGCAAAATATTGACACATGCTCAAAAGGGTTAGTCCATGCCAGGCATGGACTAACACTTCTGCGCATGTGTGAAAACAAACTAGAACATAGAAGGATTTTCCCAATAAAAACATAAACAAATAAACAATTAACAATGAAATAAACAAACAAACAACATAAACAACATGAAAACATGCATAGAAATTAAACTTTTCTTGATAAAGATGAAATATTACCATTTTTACAGTTTCTATAACAACAAAATAATTTTTCATGAAAAAATTATTACTAACATTGCAACTACAGCAAAAATAAAAATTGAATTCCATTTCAAATAATTATTCCAGGATGAAATAATTCCATGTTTTTACTGTTTTGAATTAAAACTCATCAATAATGCTAGAAACATTACGGAGACAGGACATCTTAAATAATTTTTACAAAATAGATAGACAACTATATTTTAATTACCATGTTGGATTAACAGTCATTTAAAGTTTGAATTTGAAAGTGTATTATGAACTGACAGTAGGATGAGAACGGACTATATACATCTTATGATTTTCAAGAGTTTTTTGATAGACTTGTTAATGAATCCAATATTTTGGTATCTCTAACACTGATATCTCGAATACCATGGACATGTCGAATCAATCTGGAAGTCTCTACTCCTTATTCTTTTCCCTGAATCCTCGGATATTTCTCGTTTTTTCTCGGTCCAATTGAGGTAAAAATAACACGGTTTGACTGTAAATAATGTCTTTAATTAGGCCCACTTCATCAGATTATTAAATGTTTACAGGATGAACCTACAACATTCAGTCAAGTGAATGGCTGACTTTGCGTTTAACAATAATATTCCATCAATCAATCAACTGAATGACATCTGAAAGGTCTGGAAAGGTCACTGACTTTCAGCCGCCATTCATTTAACTGAATGGCAGAGTTTTATCCTTTGATGTGTTTCACTGACCTATCCTTAATTAGACCTGCTGGAATTGAATTATGTCCAACACACGATGTAGTTACGATATCGACATATTACTTTTTTTTATAGTTTGGTTTAATAATTCTCTATTCTTCTGTGTTTATTACAGTACTTTCTGTTTTAAGAAGTTTTCCTTACTGTCAATATTCACGATATCGTGCCGATATCGAATCATGATTGTTCAAAGGTTTATAGTTTCCATCCTTAATATTGTGTTTTTTAACAGGTGAGTTACTTCGAAACTATCTTTTATAAAACTTTCCCTGTAGTGTCGATATCGTCAATGATATCGCTTCGATATCGAATCATGTCTGCTCAATCCTTTGTAAGTACTGTCCCTGTTACTTTGTATGTGTGTTTATGTTTAAATACTTTACCTTTACGAAGATTATGCTATACTTGATTGTGAAAATGAATTGTACAAATAGGATCGATATCGATACGATATCGTCATGGTATTGTCGATATCGACGATATCGACATAGCACAAAGTCACATATATGGTACCAAGTATTTCCAATTAATAGTGCTGATCAGGATCGATATCGATACGATATCGACATACATTTAATATTGTCGATATCGTCGATATCGACCTCTAATTCGTCCTTGGACATGTATTCTGGAATTAGGACCCGGGATATTGACCTATTCTTAATTAGACCTTCTGGAATTAGGACCCAGAATAAATCTTCCTCGTAATACTGACCTATCCTTAATTAGACCTCCTGGAATTATGACCCGGGATAAATCCTGTTATACTGACCTATCCTTAATTAAACCTCCTGGAATTATGACCCGAGATAAATCCTCCTCGTAATTTTTAGGGACACAAAACGCATCCAGTCTGTAACCAGGGGTGTCGTCTGGCAACTGTAAAAGGTCAAAGATAAAAAAAAGTCATTAATACTATAATTTTGTAATAATAAACAGATAAATGACCATCATATAAATATATCAGGTAATGTATTTCTGATTGAAAAATAAGTGCAAACACAAGTCATGCAGGAACCATCTTAGGCAACCAAGAACTAAATGGCTATCAGTATTTCTATTAACTACTAAATACATTCATCATGTCAAAACATTGAACAAGAATGGTTGTACCTGTGTACTGACAAATTTAATAAGGTGCATTATGAAAATTTGTCTGCCTAGTCGTGTTACAACGCGAAATGTAATAAACCGGGAATATTGCATTTTGCGTTACTATATTTTGCGTCTATATCAACGCAGAATGTAATAACGCAAAATGTAAAAACAGACTTTTTAGGACTATTGCATTTTGCGTTATTACATTTTGCGTCGAGATCAACGCAAAATGTAATAACACGATTTTTGGATTATTACATTCTGCGTTGTTACATTTTGCGTCGATATTAAGCAAAATGCAACAATGCAAAATGTATTAACACACTGTTTGGTCAGTCAGGTTGAGAATAATTTTCAATTGAGTAGTGGATGAAGAAAATAAACGGAAAGAAAATAAAACAAAAGGAAAAATAAAAATATGCTAAATCTTACATAAGATCTGATTTCATCATATATTGATTTCATTAGCCATTTAAAATCAGTTGATATTCTAATCATAGGTGTTGCAAATTATAAACGCGCGTGCGCACCTGTGTGTGTGTGTGTGTGGGGGGGGGGGTGTTGCAATTGTGGGGTTGGGTTGTTTCGTTGATCAGTGTATCAGTTTGCTTTAGCTTTTTGATAAAGGTACATGCATGAAATTTAGAAAAGAAATCTATTTTTACTGGCAGATGTGAATAGCGGGAAGGGTTTCTTGACAATTAAGATTTCATACGGTTTTACAAATCATGTGCATTGCAGACCATCAAAAATAAAATTCTCTTTCTCTCTCCAATAATGAAATGGATAGTTTCTGCATGCAAATAAAAATACATGTACAATGATCAACATACGAAGTAACCCCTACCTCTGCTTCTCCTCGCAAGACATACACATGCACTTTTAATTTGCTAATCAATGTACACATGCACGTTGTACATGGATACCAAGAGTTTTTAATGGACCCATGGTCAATCTTGGTAATAAAGAATGTCAGTGATAGATATCTAATACAGACTGATTTATAAATAGACATGTCAATCAAAGTTAAGTTAATGTTTTATAAGTATTCAATAAAAATGTAAGAAACAAAGTTTAGAAATATACAATTAGATTTAGTAATGTCTGTAAAAGCCTTAAAGTTTGTCTCATAGTCTTAGGTTTATCTGTCTATTTAGTAAAGCGACTTTCATCATTGTTACATATTTCAATTAATTATGTGACGCTTCGCGTTGAACACAATAAAAAAAAAATATATTTTGTTTTATTACATTTTGCTTTATTACATTTTGCGTTGTACTCAACGCAAAAATTAAGTAACGCGAAATGTAACATCCAAAAAGTGCATTTTAAAATTTTGCGTTAATCCCAACGCAAAATGTAATAATCCAAAAATCATGTTATTACATCGTGCGTTATTACATTTTGCGTTGATCTCGATTCAATATGTAATAGCGCAAAATGTAATAATCCCAGTTTATTACATTTTGCGTTGTTATTACATTTCGCGTTGTAACATAGCCGTTAGTGTAATGACAAGATGAACATTAAAAATTTTACAATTCAAAATTTATATTTACAATTTTGAACTTCATGATCATTTCACTGACCCAGATTCTGTACTGAGGGCTTACTTATCATTCATGCAAATGAAGGTAGATCCAGCAGGTGGTACAGATCCCCCCAACTATAGATTTTTCAATTTAAGTAATTCATATAGTAGCCTGATAGTAATCTTGCCCCTCTCCCCCTTAATCCCAAACTTAGTTGACAGGAAGAATCTGATATGCAAATATAAGTAGCTTGTCCATGAGAAAAGACTGTTACATGTACTCCCCCCCACACACACACACACAAATGCACAAAGAAAAGTGTTTTTTTTTCTTTCTGGTTGGTCACTTCCTTTTTAAGGTTCATTGCACCTCTAGCAATACTCTTAGAAGTGCAAATATATCAAATAGCTTGTCCATGAGAGAAGACTGGCTAACCACCTTCCCCAGTCACACACAAACACACACACAAAGACATCTACAATTTTTTTTTCTGCTTGGTCACTTCCTTTTTTGAGGTTCATTGAACCCTTAACTAATAATATTCCAGAGATTGAGCTCTCACTATGATAGGAATAACTAAAGTCAAACCTCGTTATCTCGAACTCGATGGGACCGAGAAAAAACTTCGAGATACATGTATCCATGGGCTCGAGATATTGAGGGTAAAATACTTAAAGAAAAGGGGCTTGGGACTTTCTTATCACTTCGACATATCCTTTTTTTTTTTCGAGATATCCGTGTTCGAGATACCGAAGTTCAACTGTATTATAATTCCTTCATAGTTTTGGCAAGTTAAAAGGCTATTTCTGTCAAATTTTACCCCATAATTTAATTATGATAAATTTGATTTCTTTTACCATGTTTACCAAATTATAAATATTATTGAAATATTATATCTGAGCTGTTGACTGATCAGAGAAATAACAAAACTCACCTTAATTTTCATATCGAAAAATTTATTACTTTTTTTAAGAAAATGAATAAAATATCTATAATAATAATTTTTCAGGCTTCTCTACATTGTTTAAATATTATTATTATTTTTTTTTTAGATATAGGCAAGAACAATAGGTGCAGGCCTAGAACTTTCGCGAATTTGGTTTACTTAGTGAAATAAGAGCTTCATGTCACAATATTAAAGTTTAAATTACATTTAAGTTACATTGACCATCTCAGTATTCAATACGTATACCATGATTCAGTTGACAGAAAAAAAGGAGAAAAGGAGAACAAAAGAAAAGGGAAAAAACAATATCATTGTAAAACAAGGACATTGTAATCTGAAATGGGGCAATGCCACCGACCCACGTGATAAATAAACAATTGGTGTAAATTCGAGCTAAGATGTTGACGCTAGCGTTGTCAAGAGGGTTTGTCAGTAGTGATGGGACATCGGTTAATTTTCATAATCGATCATCGGTTGGAATTGGTTACTGCTTCCGATGCGATTTTACCAATTGTAATCGGATGTCATAGTTTTGTATATAAAAAAGCTGACATTTAAAAGTATTTCATATTTTTTCTTTAACAAGATATATAAAATATATTGTATATTGTTTTCTTTGTTGTTTTGCTTCTTTTACACTTTCTACAGTGGCTGCATTGTCATTGTTGACAACTTACACGAACAATCACGTTACACGAACGATTCCGCACGATTAACACACGATATAACCTGTTACACGATCGATCCTTCACGCACACGATTCTACACGTTACACGATCTTTCACGATTGCTAACGCAAACGCACGATTCTTCACGCAAAATGGTTAAAAATATTTAGGAGTGGGTATTTTCAAAACGAAATAACACTTAATAGTAAATTTAAATTTCAAATAATTATTGATACAGTTCATCAGCTTTGGAAAGCTGAATAAAATATTTAGAAATGGATATTTTCTTTTAAACTAAATAAGACTTATTAGTTATTTTAGATTACAAATAATTGTTTAGTAACGTAATTCTCGGACTTAGGAAAATTGATTTTTTTTTTCTTTTTGATCAATACGTTAAGATTTAATTGATGATCGATTGCTCCATGTTCTATCAGGTGGACCCTGAGTTTTAATTCTATTGAATTTCATGATATGCAGTGGGGGGGGGGGTGTTATATAAAAAATGACATAAAAATGAATTAAAACTATATCCATCTTTCCACTTGTGAATCTCTAAAATCAACAATTATTTTACAAGTCATTCATTTGCAGAAAATATAAAAAATAAAGTAAGTTTCTGAAAGAAACACTGATAAAAGTAACCGCGACATCATGTCGTATACATTCGTAGACTAAATATTTATGTAAGCATTGGGAATTTAGTTTGTTTGAAAATATTTTGACCACAATTAGCAGAACTTTACCAAAATTAACATCAGAAAAAAAAGTCACGCAATTTGAAGAGAATACAATATTGTACAACTTACTATATTGCTTATTTACTAACGATAATTAGTTCGTTCAATTATGTAAATCGCGCTTCATTTATTTTATTTGGATTTAAAAAAAAAAGTGGAGGGAAATGCTTGTTTAACAAATAACATTCCGATAAAATCTTGCAAAGCGAAATTTGCACGTTTCTTGCCGCACGATCACGCACGATTAAAACCGCAAACGATTGAGCCTGATACATGCACGATCTCTCACGTTACACCAACGATCACGCACATTTCACGAACGATTCCACACGTTTGGTTGGTCAACAATAACGTTGCAGCCACTGCATATATGCACATTTTGGTTCTGAATCACCTGTATCAGGTGCAGATGCCATTTTCTTTCATTACAAAGAAATGCTAGTAAATTTTAAACCGATACTGGATTTATGTCAAAGAATTTATGTATGGAATGCATTTTATAAGAAGATTTTAACGTTTCCGATGATCGATTATGAAAAATAATAATCGATCATAGGAATCGGTAGCATCTTTTCGTCGACAATCGATGTTCTCTGATTATCGGTACAACACTAGTTGTCAGCAACTAAAACATACCGTGATGAAGTTGGTTCTCCTCGTTTTCCCGTCTGCTGACATCTTCTTGCCGTCAAGTCTTTCACTGTTGCTCTTTATCGGTTGTCACTTTGTAAACACGTGATCCAGACCAAAGACCTCCTTTTTTGTTACCCCAAAATAGGTCTACAATCCAAAGTCGAAATGGGAGAGTTTTTAAATCCCGGATGAGATAACGTTATATATGTGATGTATTCCAAGTATTTATTTTATTTATTTGTTTATTTTTATTTCTTTTCTTTTTTTAAATTTATTTTTGTATGTTTAGCGTCCACGGACAGATTAATTTTGATGTAGATAAAAAGTCATAGGTGCTCCCCATGTTAGCTTGTAGATCTATGACGAAATGATAAGTCTACATAGGTTTACCCCTCTATTTTATGAAATCAAATAGAGGGGTAGAACTATGTAGACTTATCATTTCGTCATCTACAAACTTACATGGGGAGCTCCTTTGTAAAAAATAAAACACAATAAAAAAATAAAACGAATTGCTTTTAGGTCTATTGGGATGGACATATCGTTCTTTTTCTACATTCTTTTAAAGTTTTGGGTCAAAGATTAAGATTGGTATGAAAAAGGGTGAAGATAACGAACAGTGATCGATCTCAGAAATCAAACGATACAGATCTGTGAACAGCGTATAAACATGGACCCTGGAAATTCCAGAGGTCGGATCAGGTGCCTAGGAGGAGTAAGCATCCTCTGTTGACCGGTCATATACTATTAGTTATATTTTACATATAAATAACATGATAAACCTTATCAATACTCATTGTTACATTTTTTTGTTGATTTGTGCTTTTCTTCCTGAGAGAAAGAGAGGTTTATGATTTTGTTGGGTAAACAGAGCAAAAACATGGAATGGCCTTCTTTTATATGCAATTATGCGTTATACATGTATGCCATTATGTGTTATAAAAAATGTAATCTAATTTTGCTGGGTTAAAATAATTATGGCAAAATGAAGCTTGTAAATACCTCACACATTTCCAATAAGTGCAAGAAGGTAACAACCCGCAGAAGTGAGCAGCTTTAAGGGATAAACGTTAAATTTTCAATTCCAATTACATGTTAAATTTACATTTTAGCATATATTTTTTGACTGTAGTTTGTTTAATCTAAAATGATGGAATTCCTTACAATTAAAGAGAACCAGAAGCCAATCACCATGAATTAATAAAATGTTTATAGTCAATGCGCATGCCTGTAGGAAACAATTTTGAAATATGTGGGAGGTTGGACATAATCAAACATTTTCAGAGGAGAGGGCACTACGGACGTAAACCAAAGACTCCTTGACAAATAAAATGAAAAAATAAAGCTAGACGTTAATTACAGTGCCATATCCATTAAATAGTTTTCTATCATTCATGTGGTATACTATACATCGGCAAATTTATTGAAGGGCACGCCCACTCCCCCCCCCCCCCCCCCCCCCGGTTCCTACGAACCCGAACCATTTGTTTACTTATTCATATTGCATTTTCAGGATATGACATAATGTATTTTACAATGAATTGGTGTTACGCTTTCAATTACTATGAAACTAAAACCCTTCAGATATGTGTAACTGTGCTCGAGCATGTCTCACTGTACATAAGCAATTCCATATGCTACTGTACAAGAAGAACATATGCTCGAGCATGCACAGTTATATACATTTCGTTCTGTTACTGGAGAAAACTAATTCATGTGCAAAGTTATTTGGCTTGTGGTATATGAAACGTACGATATCGAATGTCCTCGTCTCTAAATGGATTAGAATTGTGCAGTAAAAAACTTGGCAGAACGGTGAAAACTCTGAATCATTTTCAAAAGTGTTATTATTTGATTGAATAATTCCTATCTCTGATTGGCTGAGATCCAACAATGTAGAAAAAATACTACGTTATATTCACCTGCACGTGACCTTCCAGGTGAATATAACTTGAATAAAAGGATTTATTTTCTCTACATTGGTCTAAAATAGATCAGGAAATTCCAAATAGATACAAATAGTTTTGGAAAGCTTTTGTAATTTCATCCGACTTCCACTCAGGTGAACATAACATAAGTGAATATATAATTTCCGGTTGATGTGGTTGGGGCTGTAAGAGACCCCCCCCCCCCAAACAATTTTTTTCTGAACATAATTTTTTACTTTTAATTTAGACTAGAAATGCCAATTGAAAGGTTGGTCCCCCACTGATGGATCTTAATCCCCCACCCCTAACCTCATGCCAACCGCAAAACAAAATTTCAAGTTAAAAGAATTCTCCTTTCATCGGGGCTAATCAAAGTTTTTTTTTCAGCTGTCATTTTTCCCTGATAATAACACTCCCTTTTAAAATCTCTCATACAAAAGAGACTGACATAATTTCTTTTTTTTTAGCAACTAAAAACAGGAAATAGATTTTAAAAATTCCAAATTAACACGACTGGTAATGTTTATTTAACCCCGCTTATCTCATTGCATTTGGCTAGGAAATTAGCGAATATGAGCAAGTAAGATGGCTTATATTGTTTTTTAGGTCAATACGATGATTCAGCCACCTTCGAAGAACCATATTCACCTCGCCCTTTGGGATTGGTGAATATAGTACTCCACAGGTGGCTGAAACCATCGTATTGACCTCAAAACCCAGCAATAATTGTACATTACAAGGGATAACCCGGAAAAGAATAATCAGTGGTATTTATTGATATATAAACAGTTTATGCTTCAAACTTTCAGCATATTATTGGTCTGAATCATAAATGAGAAGTTTAAGTTAAACAATTAAGTATTTCGAAGTAATTCCTTTAAAGAAGTATTTTTGAATATTGTTAATAGATTTGCAACTGTACAACAGGTAGGGTTGAAGCAAAGAACAGACCCATGGATGAATCATGAAATCTTAGAACTTATAAATAAGAGAGATAGGCTTTTGAATATTTCTAAAAAAGTAAAAAAGATGAAGATCAGAAAAAAAATGTTCACGCTTTTTTTACTGCAAAGAAAGATTAAAAAGGCTAGGTCAGAGTATGTATCTGAAAAACTTGAAAAAAATAGGGATAACCCTAAAGAACTTTGGGAAAAGTTGAATGATTTAGGTTATAGAAATCAAAAGAAAGAAGAGAAAAAAGTTTTGAATTTGTCATGATGATTTGGAAACTGCTAACCATTTTAATAACTTTATTACTACAGTTGCATCAAAACTGGTGGGAACCCTACCCACTGCAAAGGGTACATACAATGTTAGATGTATGTCGAATTCTTTTAGAAGTTTATATTGAAACAGAAATTTGTATAATAATTCTCTTATTCTAAGTCCTGTGTCTGAAACTCTTGTGTATGAAGAACTTTGTGGTACAGCAAAAAGCACTGGTCTTGATGAAATATCAGCAAATCTTTTAAAAAAATAGGAGCAGGATTCTTTAATCACCTATAAGTTCAATCATTATTCAATCAATAAGTTATGGATGTATTTCAGAAAGTATGAAACAGGATAGGGTTTAGCCTCTATTTAAAAAAGGATAGCCCACTCCAAGTGGGAAATTACAGACCAGTGAGTTAAGTGTGGGATCAAAGAGTCTCCATTGTCAACTTAAGGGATTTTTACATAATAATAATATGTTGTACGAGTTTCAGTGAGGGTTTCGAAGTAAATATTCCATCGGTACATGCTTAATTCACTTGTTAGACCATAAAGGACAACAACTCTAAGGGATTATTTACAGGTATGATAATGTTAGACCTACAAAATTTTATGTAATAAAGTAGACATTATGGGAATTGACAACCAATGATTTAAAATATACTTAACTGGCAGGTCTCAAGAGGTAGGATGTGGAGGTGTTCTTTCAAAGTCTGAAGAAATTACTTGTAGGGTAACCCAAGGGGGCATTTTGAAACCTTTATTGTTTTTATGTTATGTAAATGATATATCTATTAGTATAGATACAGACTGTAAGCTTATCTTATATGTAGACGGCAGTGTCGTCTTGTACTCACACAGAGACCCATGCAAATGTGATCTCAGATAAACTTGGCAAGGTGTTAGAGAGGTGCTCTGAGTGGCTTATAGATAACAAGTTATCCCTCCATCCTGAAATAAAAAAAACAGAGTCTATTCTTTTTGGCCCTAGACGCAAGTTAAAAAATGAAGGTAATTTTGAGGTCAAATGTCACATTCATGTTATCAAATCTAGTGAGTGTGTTAAGTATCTGGGAATAACAATTATTTTTTTTTTTTAAATGTAATCTAATAGTGGTTGAGATTGTGGCGAAGGTCAATTCCATACTTAAGTTTCTATACAGAAATGGAAATTGGTTAAATAAAAGGTCAAGGTTAACATTAGCTTCTGCACTTATTCAGGGCTACTTTGATTATTGTTTTTCTGCATGGTATGAAAGTCTGTGAAAATCCTTGATGAATAAGCTCCAGGTTCTTCAAAACAAAACAGTAAGATTCAATTTGAAGTCTAGAGCTAAGATCAATTGTGATGTTCCAAATTCAATAAACACTCTCTGTGTATCAGATCGTGTTAAACAATTAAGACTTAACAATGTTTTAACATCAACCATAGCCTGGCACAAAATTATCTATTTTACTTTATGCAGGCTAGGAAAATTATGTAATGTTCAATTTTATTTTTGTATTTTATGCTGTCTTAGTCATATATAATCAACTTGTAACATCTTAGGAACCCATTGGAAATCAGCGAGTTTCAAATATTGCTTCTATGGGTTATCCTAGGCAAAGATTGATTTAAAATATGTTGATTTGTATTACATGTAATAAGGTCTGGTACTGGGATCAGTTTGCTTCTGTAATGATGATAACTGTGATAATATCCGGGGTGATATTGTGTAACTGTGATAGGTAGGTGCCAAAACTCTTTAACAATCCCAAATTGATATCATTAATGTAATTGTATTATATTTGTATTGTATTTGATCCTTTGCCTGAATAAATATAATGGTGCCTAGAGATACTGTGCACCTTTTCTGTTACTCGTGTTATTTTTAGAGTGATCAGCGTCTGGCTTTTACTAATATTTCTTTAGCTAAAGCTTCTTTTTACCTGCTAGAATGTGCCAGTCATTGTCTCCAACCTGTAAGCTTAATTAACGTGTTAGTCACTCC